AACGTCTGGTTGCTTTAAGTGTGGAAAGGAGGGACACCGTGCAGCAGAATGCCGTTCGAAAACCCCTGCCAGAAAGCCAGACCACCCATCGGGGGGAAAACCTGGAACATCCAGCCCTCGAGGAAAGGAGACTGGCTTGAGAGGCCGAGTAGCTGTGGGATTCCGATCCCCCCCCAACCCAGAGGAAAAAACCCCAACGCTCCGAGGGGACCTGAGCCAGTCCGAAAGTGATCCGGAAGACAACCCACTGGTAAGCAACCCAATTGAACCAATCACTCTACCCCTAAGACTGTTTATCCCCAGCCGAGGGAAGGGGGAAGAAGCTGCAGCGTTGCTGGATTCGGGGTGCACCTGATGCCAAATAAACCCCTCCCTTGCAGAGAAATTGGGGATCCAACTGAAAGAAATGAAAAATCCCATCGCTTTCTGCCAATTAGATGGAACTATAGCGGGGGGGGGGGAGCCAGCTAGGTTTATCACAGAACCATTGAAAATAAGATTAGGGAACCATAGTGAGATGCTTACATTCATTGTAGCCCCAGGAAGAGAGGAAATTGGAAGAGAGGAACCGTACAATTCCAGAGAGATGTAGTATTTGCAAATAGCTCAGCGGAAAGGATAAAAAAAGGAACAGAGAACAGAGTCAGCCATGACCGGACAGTTGGCTGAACCCATTAACATCCCCAATGAGTACCAGGATCTGGCCCAAGTATTTAGCGAGGAAGCTTGTGATGAACTCCCACCCCTCACCACAGACTGCGTTATCGAAATCCTACCAGGGGCTAAACTCCCAAAACCACAAATGTACTGCATGTCTCCCAGAGAACTAAAAGAACTCAGAGCATTTATCAACAAAAATTTAAAAAGGGGTTTCATCGAACCCGCCCGACCAAAAATAGCTGCCCCAGTGTTATTCCGCGAAAAGATGGCTCCATGCGTCTCTGTGTGAATTACCAAAAATTAAACACGATTTGCATAGAGAATATGTATCCACTCCCCCTCATGAAGGACATGTTAGCCCACCTCTTGAAAGGGATTTTTTTTTTCAAAGCTAGAGCTACGAGTGGCATATTACCTCATAAGAATAAAGGAAGACAGACCATTGGGATGCTACCAATTTAAAGTGCTCCCCTTTGGACTGCAAGGAGCGCCTGCTGTGTTTATGCAATTGATCAATGAAACCCTTCATGAATTTTTATATAAAGGGGTTCTAGTGTATCTTGATGATATTTTAATCTACACTGAAATGATGGAAGAACACATCAAGCTACTCCATGCAGTCCTCACAAAACTCTTAGACGCTAAACTATATGCAAAACTCTCTAAATGTGAATTCCACCAAGAAAAAATTGACTACTTGGGTATAGAATATTCCACGAGGGAATAGAGATATTCCACCCACAGAAAGTAATAGCTGTAATGGACTGGGACCCACCGCACACCTGCAAACAACTGCAAAGTTTCCTGGGGTTTGCGAACTTTTATCGCCAATTCATTCCAGCTTTTGCAAACATCGCCCTCCCTATCACAAACTTGCTAAAAATGAAGGGGGGGGGAGAAACCCAAACTAAGGCAACCCCTTATCTGGACAATGGAATGCCAAGCGGCATTCGAGAAACTCAAACATCTATTCTCAGCAGAACCGGTCCTTAAGCACCCAGATCCCAAACAACCTTTTGTCATCCAAGCAGACGCTAGTGATGTTGAAGCAGTCCTTCTCCAAAAGAATGGAAGTGGACAATTACAACCATACGCTTATACATCCAAGAAACTGATGGAAACCGAGCAAAGATGGGCCATATGGGAGAAAGAGGCATATGCTGTGCAGTGGGCAATGCTCACATGGAGACATTTCCTGGAAGGAAACCAAATCCCCTTTGAAGTATGGACTGATCACAAAAATCTGGAAGCCCTGAAAAATCCACGGAAACTCTCCAAAAAACAAGCAAGGTGGGCTCAATACTTTAAACGTTTTAATTTCACTCTCAAATATTTTCTTGGGAGAAAGAACTTCTTAGCAGATGCACTGTCCAGAAAACCCCAATACAACAGCAAAAAGATTGAGGTTATAAAACCGATGATCCAACCTGATCCAACCGACCCAACTAGCAGCCAAAGTAATCACCCAGGCACAAGAGGAAAAAAAATCATTCCTGACTGAAGACACAACGACATCAATATTTAAGGAGGCACTACTTAAGGACGACTGGCTCCAGGCTAACAAAAACACTTGTTTACTCAAAGATGGACTGGCTTGAGTAGAAAACAAACTTTATGTTCCTGCAAGCCAGAGAATGGACCTCATGAAACGCTGCCACGACTCCAAAATAGCGAGACACTTTGAGTTTGTAAAAACCCTGCACCTCATCAAAAGACAATTTTGTTGGCCATCCCTCAAAAAGGACATTGAAAACTATGTTGCGAGCTGCCCCACCTGTGCTGCTGCAAAGAGAAGACAAGGAAAATACCTTGGACTTTTACAAACAGTAGCAGACCCTTCTGCACCCTGGAAAGAGATTGCTAGGGACTTTATAGTGGAGCTTCCCGAAAGTGCTGGAAATACTGTCATTTGGGTTGTAACTGATATTTTTTCCAAACAGGTTCACTTTATTCCATGCCAAAAGATCCCAACTGCCAAGGCATTGGCAACGATGTTGCTAATACACATTTATCACCTTCATGGAGCTCCCCAATGGATTATCTCAGATAGGGATGTTCAGTTCACATCCAAATTTTGGCGGGCGTTTTTAAACCTATTAGGCCCTGAAACAGCTGGCTTGACGGAGAAAGTTAACAGCATATTAGAACAATATTTAAGATGCTTTATTAATTACCAACAGGACAATTGGACTGACCTTCTTCCTTTTGCAGAGGTAGCATACAATAACTCAGCCCATAGTACCACGGGGTTCACCCCATTCCAGGTAGCCACGGGCCAAGAATTCAACTCCATGCCGGAACTATCCACCAAAGATCCTGAAATCCCCTCAAGGAGTGGATGGATAACTTACAAGCCATGTGGCCAGTGGTAAGATTATCTTTACAGGAAGCTAGAGAAGTTTTCAAAACTCAAGCAGACAAAAAACGTTGCGAACCTAAACCTTTCAAGATTGGGGACCGTGTATATTTGTCCACAAAATTCTTTAAATCATTACAACCCTCTAAGTTAGCACCAAAATTCATTGGCCCATTCCCCATCTCCAGAATTATTAACCCCATGACGGTAGAGCTTCGACTTCCAAAAACACTTAGGCAGATTCATCCAGTATTTCACTGTAGATTGCTCAAACCGGAGATCACTTCAAACCTCAGACCCCACCTTCCCACACCTCCAACCCCCATCATGGTACATGGGGAACAACATTTTGAAATTAAAGATATCCTTGATTCACGCATTCACCGTGGATCCACACAATATTTAGTAGCTTGGAAACACCTTCCTTCCTCAGAAAACGACACATATAAAAGCACCCACGTTACTACGAAACTTCCACCTAAATAAACCATCCTGAATTGCAAATGTAATGCATGATTTTTGTTTTTTCCAGGTAGACCTATCTGTTTTTTAAGGATGGCAGGATGTCAGATCCGTGTATCTGTCATTTCTTTAGTGGAAGAAGAAAAGGGGGGGGGGAAAGACTGATAAAGAAATCCTTTCTTGATGTAACCTGAATATATTTAATCTTATATCGAATTTCGAATTTGTATAACCCACACATGATACAATGGAGGGAGAAAAGCCAGATGGCTGGAACCTTTCACCTCTGAGAGGCACAGCCAGGAGATGAGAAGATCATAAAAAATCCAGTGAGATGTGTCCTGGGAATCTGTAGAAAAGTTCGTTCTAAAAAGGGGGTGGGGGGAAACTAGTTATGCCCTGGGAAACTGAGAAGGGGTGGGGGAGGAATTAACATACTGGCTTTTGTTTCACTAAATACACATCGATAACTCCCTTATCCCTGTATGCCTGAGGGACCTCAGACGCTGCTTTGAACTCCTACATGAATTGTCTCATCTCAATAAAGGATTCCTTTTGATAAGTTTGGTGTTCAGAAGTTCATTCTTGTTAATTGATTGGGAAAAAGTTCTGTAGCCTGACATCCAAGGTCCCTCCCATTCTTGTTATTCTATGTTCTGAACCTTCTCTTTATTAGGCTAAACATATGTAGTTTCCTTAGCCATTTATACACTGCCTATTCTGTACTTGTGCATTTATTTTTTCTGCCTAAGTGCAGGACCTTATTTTTCTCTCCACTGAACTGCATCTTGTTGGATAAGGCCCAATGCTCAAATCTGTCAAGATCCTTCTGAATCTTGAGCCTATCTTCTGAAGTGTTAGCAATTCCCCCCAGCTTGTTGTTTGCAAATTTGATGAGTACCCCTTCAATCTCTTCATCTAGGTCATTTATGAAGATATTGAGGAGCAATGAGCCCATCAACACAGCTCTTTAGGGCAATTTACTTTGCCTTAGGGCAATAAAATACTCTGTGTGCTTTGAAGGCACACAATCTCCTTTACTATGGTTCTACTATAATAAACTAGTAGTTAATTACTCAGAAATTAGCAGGTCTTGCTTCTAACAGCAATGATTAAATCAACCCATATATTAAACCTTTTAAGGAAATTATGAAACTGCCTCTTACTTAGGGGGAAAAAATTCTGATTTCTGACCACCTCCTCCAATAGTTTTTTATTTTTATAAATCTGGAGAAAAAAATGTCATTTGCATTCTCCTGGAATCAATAGTTCTATTTTTGCATAACTAGTGAAAAAAGAATATATAACATGAAATCTTGTTTTTATTGAGACAGTACAAATTTTGTCCTAGTAAAGAGAACCCTAGCTTTCAGGGATTGATTTTCTAGCTATTTCTGAAAGGCAGAATCACCTGTTTTTAATTCTGTTTTAACAAAATGCTTCTGGGTTAAAGGGCTTAATGAATTTCATATCAAATCCTCCTATCCCTTAAAACATAACCCATCCCACACATTGAGAACAGCTAGAATATATCTCATGTAATGTTATGCATTCAGTGCTCAGTACCAGAACAGCCTGCCTAGAAAAGACAGTACAATCAACCTCCTTTGTGCAGATGTTTAGTTATTGTTTCTGGATAGTGACAACCAAGATCAGTAGATTGGGAAATATAAGTTATCACAAGGTCTAGAGTCAGACACTTATCATATGATGCTGAGACTCTGTGCTACTATGCTTAGGTCAGAAAACTTGGCAAGGGGTGTCAAGCAATTTATTTGGGACTGGTTGCAAAAAAATCTTATAGCCAGTGATTGTTCTCTTTTCTCCATTATGTACTTTCAAGAGAAGAAAGGAAAAAGAAACAATAAAATTCAAAGTAGTTGTAGGGAAAAAACAATGTAATCAAATACTGCAAAGAAAATTTCCAGCTTATGTTGTATGTAGCATCTCCATAGTATGCTAACCAGGAACAACTAGACTAGAGCCATTAGAACACTGATTCTACATTTCCCATTTCCACAAAGATTGTCTTCAGCTGGGAATAATATTCAATTGCTGCTTTGCCATTCTCTCGTCCAAACCCTGAAAAGACAGATAAATTTATGATAAAACTGTACTCATCTGCTCTAAAAATCTGCAAAAAATGTATCAGGAAACTTTTGAAACAAACTTAATAGTCTCATTCCAGAACTGGGCAAAACTGACTCATTAGATTCCTAATGATAAAATATAAATGACATGTATAAATCAAGTGTTTTTCCTCACTCACTCAGTGAGCAGCTATGAGTCTATAGTTTAAAAATCTCACATTAATTTAATACCAGTTTTTCTTATCTCTGTTTTAATTTAAAATGCCATGTATACATTTTTCTACTTAATAGAAGTTTCTTTACAGCATGTATATGTATGTAGAAGTTATCCTTACTAAATGGAGCTTGGTCCTCAAATAGGTCTGTATAAGTACGTAGGTCCTGTAATTGAACTTCTTTTTCAAATAAAAACAGTTTTCAGAACAAAGGTGAAATTATCATGAGAAAGGAACAAATCAATGGCAAATCTGGCTATCACTACTATTGTAAACTGGGTAATAAAGTTCTGCTGCTTTAATTGTATACACTGAAATTGTGAAATTTTGTTTACAATCCAATTTAGGGTAATTCTTCAACTTTTGCCAAATATCATGTAAGCAGCTGTCAACAGCCAAAATATTACAGCAAAGTTGCTGAGTGGAATACCTGACATCTTGTATCCTCCAAAGGGAAGCTCCACAGGACTGACATTATAGTTGTTGATGAAACACATACCAGCCTGGAGCCGAGCTGCTACTCTGTGGGCACGCTGGATATCTCTGTAAAGCAGAATGATAATGTAAATTAACTCTCATTTCCCTAGTACAAGTGTCCATCATTTATTAACTTTTCCTCTGGGATACTGCTAGGGATGTCTGCCATTTTAGTGAAGCATCAGAAAGTAAGGATAACATGGTGCGGCTTCGGTAGCGGCAGGAATTCGCGTCTCTGCTATCCCTGCCGCGCTCGCCGCCAAGGTGCCCCCGATCTAAATAGGTCTGGGGGCTATGGCTGCCTTGTACAGGCAGCCGAAGAGAGAGGGGATCCGGACAGAGGTTTGGGGGTAACGCAGACCCCCTTTCCAGCCGGAATAACCCCTTTTTCCTGAGGTGGTGGAGCGGCGGTCAGTAATGGCGCCTCAAAGAAGCCTGCAGCCGGGTAAGATTTGTGCTGGAGGAAGAGGGAAGAGCTGTGGAAGTTGCTTCTGACTGGGATAAAGTTAAGAGAGAGTGCCCTGTAACCTTGAAGGCTGCTAAGGATACTTTGTTTCTAGAAAGAGATACAAGCAGCGAACATTTCAAAAGAGAAAGGGTTTTTTTTGGTGTTTTTTTTGCCTTTCACTCTCCTTCCTAACGTGACAGCAATGGAACCATAAGAGAAATCCGGGAATCTGTTCTGGAGGTAAATGAATATTGAAGGAGCAAGGATTTCTGAATATCCAAAGGGGAAAAAAAAAAGAAGAATTTTTTTTTGGCTGTGAGTGGGAAGGGAGAGGAAAAAAAAAAAAATTGGAGCAACCTGAAAATAAGGAGAAGACTGCCTAAAACTTTAAAGAGCTAATTTTAAAGAGTTATTAAACAGCAATAAGACTTCCTAAAGATATACTTTAAAGAGAACTTTGTGATCAAACTTTATCCCAAAAAGAGAAAGTGAAAAAAGAGAAAGTATTAAAAAGAATCAGCTGATTGGACTGTTTGATGATTTTGGATTTTATGAGAATTATCTCAGACTAAAAGCACTCGGGTGGTTGTTTTGAAAAAAAAATTTCTCTGTACAATGGCATCAGTTGTGGATGAACTAGAACTTATACACCAAAAATATGAAAGAGAAAAGCAAGAAGGGAAAGATGTCTTTGGCACTCTTTTTCAGTTTATAGAAATGGCGGTCTGTGCTTATGTAAAATCGTATGAGCAGGATAAAGAAGAAGCCATTTTTGAAGAACAAGTGACTTTGGTTGGGGAAGAAAAGAAGGAGGAGAAAAAGGAGAAGAAGACTTTAAGACCTGGGAAAACAATCCAAAAAGAGAAGAATAAGGTGAAAAGGGGATATCGTGTTAGGAAACAACAGAAAGGGGGAAAACAGAATAAAAGGGAGGTGGAGAGACAAGGGGGTAAAGAGGATAAGGAGAAGAAGAAGCAAGGGAGAAAGGAAGGGATGAGAAGCTTTAATGGTGGGGAGCAAGATGCAAAAAAACAAAAGTTTTTTTAGAGATAATGGATAGATTTTATTGGAAAAGGGATTCTAGAAGGGTACATAAGATTGCATTTTTATATTTGTACTTAGAAATAATTATAGAAGACTGGAAATAATATGCAATTTAAAATGTGATAAAATATTTAGTATAATTCAGTGAAATTTTTGTTAAGAGAGGGGAGTACTTTAATGAAATAATGATTTAAGATCGGTGATGTGGGGGGGGGGGATAATTTTGGAAAGCATAAGAAGTGTTCCCATAAAGGTATGATAATTAATTGAAATGGGTAAAATGTCTAAAGATATAAATGATTGTTAATACCAATGATTAGGCCATATTATACTAGTGAAACTATTCGTGAAATGAGAGGTTTGAAGAAGGAGAGGGGAACATGTAATGTAATAATGATTTATAATATGTGATGTGGGGGGCGGAATTAATATGGCAAATAGGTGCTCCCATAGAAATATGTGACCTAATTGATAAGAAATGTGCTAGATGTTTAAGATATGAATGAATATTAATATTAATGAATAGATTCGTATTGGTTTTGATGATATTGTATAATGTCAGAATGTACCAGACAGAATCCCAACGTAAGTTATGTACTTTAAATCAAGTATTATAAATATAGGGGAAAGAGACATAGGCGTCATACTCCAATCAGTGTACAGGAGAAGGTTTTTCTTTTTTTTCTTTTAAGAAGAAAGATAAACGGATAGTTGGAAATAGAACAGACAAAGAATAATAAATATGATTTGAATTGAGAGGAGATAAATAAAATAAAATTGAGAAAATTTAAAAGAAAGGAGAAGCTATATAGAAAAATGAAAATGTAATAAGATATGGAATGGTATGTAAAATGAATATGAATTTGAATGTGTGTCTGTACCAAGAGTTTTGACCCAGGATTAAGCAACTTTCAGAAAAGAGATCTTTTATGTTTTTATGTCTTGTATTTTTGTATGTTTTGTATGTTTTTAAAAATTAATAAAAATTTGTTCAAAAAAAAAAAAAAGTAAGGATAACACTCAGTTTCTATCAAATGGAAGAACTATGCAGCAAACAGTTTTCTACCATGCTCTAAGCTGTCTGCTTCCAGTCTCACAGCAGTCATAAATGCCTTTCAGCCTCACAGGTCATTTGCAGCTCAACTTGCCACAACTATCTACCACTTCTAAAATATATTCCCTTTTTTGATACCTGGTGAAGACACCTCCTGCCAGGCCAAAACGGGTATTGTTGGCTCTCTCTAAGACCTCTTCTTCTGTGTCAAAGGGTAGAATAGACATGACTGGTCCAAAAATCTCCTCTTTTACACATGTCATGGTGTCCTTACAGTTTCCTGGAAGCAATACAGGTGTGACCATACAATATTAAGAAATCAGTCAATCTGAATTTATATGAAATGAGAAGGGCTACTTCAGCTACTGAGAACTAAGTAGAATTTTAGAACTACTTTTTAAAGCTCCATTTGTAAGATCTGAGATAAACTTTTAAATTAAATAAATGGCCCTTAAATACTTAATTTCAAGTCCCACATTAGAGTTTAAGTTTAGAGTTTCAGTCTGATCATGAAGTCTGTTTTTAATGTTTACAACATATTGGGCAGTATGTTCCTCAATGCAATTGGCAAATTGGATCTCTTTTTAACAAGCTTCGCCCTTTGCTTCTTGTCCTACCCTCAGGTGCTTTGGAGAATAATTTGATCCCCTTCTCTCTGTTGAAGGGGATCAAAGTCCCTCAAGTACCAGAAGTACTATCATGTCACTTTCTCTTCATTGGGCTAGAGACCTACCTAGTTCCCTTAACCATTCCTCATGCAGTTTAGCCTCCAGATCCCTTAATATTTTTGTGTTCTTCTTTGCAATCTTTCTAGGGCAGTGATCCCCAACCTTTTTGACGCCGCGGCCCGGTACCGGCATCAGCTGGGCGCCGCGGCCCAGTACCGGCATCAGCTGGGCGCCATCTTTTTTTGATGAAAAAGTGCTTCCGGTGAGCTTTCTACCCGGAAAAGCTCACCGGAAGCACTTTTTCATCAAAAAAAGATGGCGGCGCCCAGCAAGCCACGGCCCGGTAGGAGTTGTTCCACGGACCGGTACCGGTCCGCGGACCAGTGGTTGGGGACCCCTGTTCTAGGGACTCAGCATCTTTTTTTTTTTGTAATGTGGTGACCAGAACTGGATGCAGCCTTCCAAGTGTGGACTCACTAATGCGATATAGAACAGTACTATCACTTCTCATGATCTTGATGCTATCCCTCTCTTGATGCAGCCTAGGAACTCATAGGCTTTTTTGGCAGTTGCAGCACACTGCTGGCTCATATTTAAGTGATAGTCCACTAGGACATCAAGATTCCTCTTGCAGTTACTATTGTTGATCCAGGTATCATCTATTCTATAAATGCATTTAGTTTTTCCTGCCTAAATGCAGGACCTTACTCTTCTCTCCACTGAACTGCATCCTGTCGGCTAAGACCCTCTGCTCAATTCTATCAAGATCCTTCTGAATCATGAGTTTATCTTCTGAAATGTTAGCAATTCCCCCCAGCTTGTTGCCTGCAAATTTGATGAGTGCCCCTTCAATCCCTTCATCTAGGTCATTTATGAAGACAGTGAAAAGCAGTAGGCCCAAGACAGAACCTTGAGGTATGCCACTGCATATTTCACTCCATGTAGATGTAGTTTCACTGAGGACTACGCATTGAGTATGGTTGGCCAGCCATTTGTGAATCTATCTGGTGCTGAAGTCTGAGTAAACTATATCCACAGCATTTCCTCAATCCCCTAATTTAGTCACTTTTTAAAAGGAGGCAATAAAGTTTGTCTGGCATGATCTGTTTTTCACAAAGCTATGTTGGTTTCTAGTAATAGCTGTGCTCATTCCTAGGTGGTCTATTATCTAGGATTTTCCTAGGTATTGATGTCAGGCTGATTGGTCTGTAGCTTCCTGAACCACCACCCCTCCCCCATACACATTTTTTGTGTGTGGAAGATTTGAATCACATCAGCCCTTTTCAATTCCAGCAGTAGTTCCCTAGTGTTCCAGGAGCTTTGAAATCTTTTGTTCAATGGTTCCAAGATCACATCTGCCAGCTCCTTCAGAACCATGGGGTCCTGGTGATTTGTATTTGTCTACACTGAATAGGTATTATCTTACTATTTTCTTGCCTATTTTAATTTGTATTCCTATTCTGTCTTCTATGGTACTGTTTCTGATAGGTTGGACTATTTGTTTCCTTTTGTGTATAGATGGTGTCAGCCAGATCTCCAGCATGGGATTCGCCTTTGAGGCACGTTTGCTATCAGCTGTCATAGTAACAGGGAGGGGGGGCACAGTTGGGGAAGTGAGCTGGTGAGGTGAAGTCCCATGTGAACTAAAAAGGAGGTTTGCTCTCAAGAATTATTGCACTGCTGAGTGGAGTTGTTTACACCCTGTCAAGGCCAACTGTCCTGAGACTCCAAATGGGCGAAATACCGGAAGATGAACTTCACACAACTTTACACTGGATGTTGATTGGACACTCAGCAATGGGCCCTGGGTTTTAGGGAAACTTTCAATCTGTAGCTTTTGCACGTTTTGAATAAGATCTTGCCTTGCTTTCACTGCTATCATTTCAAACTCAGTAAAAGTAAGGAGATGAATTAAGGCAAATAAGTAAATAAGTAAATAGAGTAGGCTGTGGAATTTGTCAAATGCTTTACTGAGGTATGACTGAATCAACCACATTTCCCTGATCCACTAATTTAGTTACTTTGTCATTTTAATTTAATCATTTTTTTTAGCATCATGTTATTTTCTTGTCTTTACCATACCCCTCTTTAGTCTAGTAATATCAAAGTTTTGACTATGGTTAAAAATTAGTGCCAATGGCATTGATAATATAGTATCCATACCTAAGACACAAGGAGACATGTAAAAGCCATTTTTCAGACTGGGATCATCTGGCACAAATGCATCCCCTCCACACAGGACTTCTGCACCCTAAAAGGTGTAACAGAAGATAATGGCAGAAAATCATTTTATGTATAATTAGCAAAACTTTGCCAACCTATACAGGAAGGTACCAAAGCTTGAGTGTATATAATAAAACACTAGACTGGATAGAAGGTTCTTTCTCTTGGTCCAATATCACTCTTGGCAATAGAAATGAATCTTCTCCATACATAAGTGTTTGAAACCCAAATAGATTGGTTTGACATTTCACCAATAGAAGAAGCATGTGACTGACATATTTAATTTTCTCATTTCTCATCTACTATAGATATTTATGATCAGGATCAGATTGCTTTCTACGTATTAATCTAAGTCATTGCTTTTCAACCTTAGCAACTTTAAAATAGCTGGACTTCAACTGCCAGAATTCCCTAGCCAGTATGCTGTTTTGTACAGTGCCTAGAGAATGCTAGCTGGGGAGTTATGGGAGTTGGAATCCACCCATCTTAAACTTGCTGATGTGGAGAAGCACTGACTTAAGTAGTTGTCAGCTCTTCCCTACAAATTTATTTTAAAAAGCAGTTTATATACTAGAGAGATAAAAATAGACAAGGAACAAAGTATATTTTTAGTTTTGTGATTAAACTAACTCTGTATTTATGAGATTCTTTTGCACTTTACTTTTAGGGACTATGGTGAGCAACATAAAACCCTGAAGCTTTAACATAGCCCAGGTGAATGTTAATATAGCACACAACCAAGACACAAAGTTATTAAATATAGATTTGTAAGCAATTTCTCTATGTAATATCCTGATTGAATTATTCTTTTCTGCATTATCGCACAGAAGAAACAAACAATAGATTTGTTTTTAATCAGAAGTTCATATTATTGCATTTATAATCAGACTATAAAAATTACTACCAGTTAATTCAAGAATTTGCTCATTACCTGTCAGGTCTGTATTACATTAGATGTGAAATATACACTCCCTTTAACTGCCAATTTTGTTTATACTCACTATACATTCAAATTGATTTAGTAAAGTGTCTGGCAAGGGGTGATTATTACTAAGAGTAGAGTATACCCTCTTGCCAGCTGAGACCTATATAATTCCAATTGTTACTTGCTCTTGTTTTCCTTTTTGGTTATTGATAAGACTGTACAACACATGGAAGCAATGGCTGATAGGTAAGTTGTATTGCTTACATACTTAGAAAGGGAGATAGCAATAGAAATTGGGTTATATATGAATATGGAATGGGAACTAATATTAAAATGAAAACAGGACTAATAAATGTTCTCTTTATTATATATTTATTAGAACAGAAGTAAGATCCCTGGCTAGTTTTGGTCATTTGTATCTCTATGAAGACCCAATAAATGAGTATATACTCCCTACGGTTTTTTATTATTGTAAGCTGCCAAGAGTCACCCTGAGGTAAGATAGGCAGCCAATAACTTTTATAAATAAATAATAAAGCAAAATAGACCAGACCCCTTCCCTGTTGAGTTTACATACACACACATTCACATATTATATCTATTTATTTCTTATCTATTTATTTATACTATAGGGGATAGAGATGAGGCATTTATTTATTTATTTTGCAGTATTGAATGGGAATAAAAAAAGTTGAAACATATTTTGCTCCTTAAAATCATCTAAAGTCAAAAAGGTTCCACTTTTTTAATACCATGACTTTACCAGCCACATAAGTTGCAGCCCTTACAGTCAAAACAGGTTAAGCAAACCTGCATATGTTTATTTAACATTACTGACTTAAATTTGTTGAATATGGATTGATGAGAGGCACACCTCCTCACCATAAAAAAATTCTCTATGGTAAACGCTACTCAAATTTAAATTCTTCCACAATAAGAGATTAAAAACACTAATATAAGATATTAAGCATACCAAATTTTATTCCAGATGTGGTTTGTGCTCATTGTTTTTAGTAATCAATTATTGTTTGTTAAACAGATGTGCTCAGATCAGATAGCTTTTCACTGGATGGCTATAAACTATACAGACATAGCAAAGCACCTTTGTTCTATCTTCAATACTCAGTTTTGCACAAAATACATAACATGATGCCTGTATTCTAGCACCTCATGTGGCAGATGAGTGAAGTGCTTTCAGGATAAAGCTCAGTAAAGATAATGCTAACCTGCTCCTTTGCCTGTTTAACAAAACTCAGGACCTTCTCCAGGTGTGCCTTGTTGATAAGTGCTCCCATCCTTGTATCTTGCAGCAGGGGGTCACCAATTTTGATGTTCTGAGTCTGTTTCACAACTTCTTTGGTGAAGGCTTCCAGAACTGCTTGTTGTACAAACACCCGAGTACCATTGCAGCAAACCTGAGGCACAGAGACAGGCTTAAGAAAGGGCCCATTTTCAGAATTGACAGGCTCAGAACTAACCTGTAACTAACTTACAGATAGTTCTCCACTTATGACCATTATTGGGCCCAGAATCTCAGTCACTGGATAAAGTGACCCACACAGGTTGTTAAATGGAATGCTAGGGAGAAGGCCTGGGCCTTGCAGGTATGGTGGGACAGGGAGAGGGCACAAGTCTTCCACCACACCCAGACTCTCCCCCTGCCCCATCAGGGAGAATACCCACAAAAACAATGGTGTTTGCTAGTGTTCGCTAGATCTGAGGCCTGTTTCTCCAATGGGCTGAGAGATTTCACCTTCAGCATTCTGGAAGAATAGATCTCAAATCTGGTGAAAATGCTAGCAAATACCATTGTTCTGAAAGGCTCAGAATGCTGGGGTTCACTAGTGTTTTTACCTGTGAAGATGGTGGTTGTGGGGATGCTGGCATTTGCTAGTACTTTCATCCGATTTGAGATCCCTCAGCATGTTGGAGTAACAGGCCTCAAATCCAAAATTCCTTCCACTTGCAATCTTCCCTAACAGCTTCTCCAATGTTTTTTTGGGGAAGCTGCCAGAGATTTCAAATAGTGATCACAGGATCACAAGACACTTTGCTACTGGTCATAAATGCAAACAAATTGCCAAGTACTTGAAATATGGTTATATGATGGCAGAAGTTGTGATGCAACATTTTATAATGGTCAGAAGTGCTTTATGGACAGCAAAGCACCCATTCAAAGTCTGTCATGCCTATAAACAGTCTAATGACTGTTTATATTAAATAACCTATCATAACTTGAGGAGTACATGTACTGACATTTCTGCATTGATTTAACACAGGGGTGTCAAACTCGATTGAGGGCTGCATCAGGGTTGTGTTTGACCCCAGGAGGGCCGGGGGGGTGCATGGCCAGGGTGGGCATGGCCAGCATGATGTCAGTTGGGTTGGGGGTTGGGTGTGATGGCTCAAGCGCTCTGCCAGTGAAAATGGGCTTCCGAGCTCTGTTTTCAGCTGCAACAGCCTCGTGCCCACTTCGCCGGGGGGAGGGGGGGGGGGGGGGGGGGGGGGGCACACGGCCCTCATGAGCTCTGTTTTTGGCTGGGATAGCCTCCTGCAACCCTCTGCCAGTGAAAATGGAGCTTCGGAGGCTGTGCATGGCCTCACAAGCTCCATTTTCACTGGCAGAGGCATTGCGGGCTGGTCCTTTGCTCTTTCCAGGGCAGCACCGTGGGCCAGATCTAAGCACCCCATGGGCTGGATTTGGCTCTGGGCCTTGAGTTAACATCTCTTTGGAACAGCAATCAGTAACAAATAGCAATAAGTCAAATCAAATCAAATAATTATACATAAAGTCTGTGAGGAAAAAATAGAGGAGCAGAGTCTCTTCTTGAACAACAAACATTACAAGATAATACCAGTCCTGAAAAGCAACAAACACTGAAAAAATTGGATCTTAGAACACAACACAAGTTTAGGCATTCTCTTCACCCAGAATGAAATAAGAAAAACTCTTGTGGAATGGTAAGGCACAAATTTTTTCTTAAGAGATTCTGATAAACATTCATGTATTACAATATTTTACAATATATAGCAAATTTCTGCTCCAACTATGGAACTTAAGTGGACTTTTTAAAATGATTTAGTCAGATCCATAACTTCTTCCCTGTTAGATTAAAAAAAATTGCATACCTCACCCTGGGTAAGGAAATTAGCCATGAGAGCTCCTTTCACAGCATTATCCAATATACAGTCAGAGAAGATAATGAGGGGAGACTTTCCTCCTAATTCTAAAGTAACAGGCTTGATTCCTTTGGCTGCCATTTCCATAATCTATTGGGGGGGAAATACAGAACAAGATGTAGCTGCTAACACAGGCAATTATAATTTTATCTTTCTTGGTAAGGGCAAAGAGCCTCAGCTAGAATTTGTTGAATAAAGATTCATCTCAAATACAAAATTATTGCTCTTTTTTCAGTGATTTAGTCAAAACATAGGTAGTGCCTGATGAACATTTCCAAGCATTTACCTCCCATAAATGCTATTTTTGATATAAACATCTAACACCCAAAGCTATGCTATTAAAGTAGCAATTCACCTTTATTCAAGCTTTTTTGATATGAATGTTAAGACTGTTTTTTTCTTCTTCTAACCATAATGAATATGTTTTTAATGATTATGTTGTTAATCATGTACTTCGTTGCTGTTTTGACTATAAAATGCTGCCAGATTCTTCAGCACAGAAAAAATAAACTTATAAATATGTTGAGTATGGATTACTGGATAATTTTTCACCAACATGCAATTCAGAAGTAGAATCTGGACTAAGAAGTGATCTCCACATTTCCAAAGGAGAGCCATCCAAGCATTTAATATATGTAAGAATAATAAAGACACCCATATAGGCCTGATCTTTCTGCATCATATTCAAATGCATATTTTTTTAAAAAACTGCAGACCTTGTGATTTCAATGAAATACCTGTAGATTTAGCAACTGGCAAATATGTAAATTGGACAATGAACAGGTCTACCAGCCTTTCAAATTAGCAGTTCTGGTTAGTAGCAAAGCAACTCTTCTAACTGATCTTAGTATAGTTGCATGTGTGTCAATAAATTGTCAAGTCATGGGAGAAGGGACAAATTGCATCAGGACTGCTTCAGAAATCAAACATTTAAAAACTTTATTATTCAATAGTGACAGCACTTTATATGTATATATATAAATACTGACAGCACTTTATATATATATATAAATATGTGTGTATGTATATATACCTTAACTCCTGTGGGCACACTCCCAGTGAATGAGACCTTGGCTACATCTGGGTGCTGGCATAGGAATTGGCCTGTGGCAGCTCCACCCTGCACCACATTGAAAAGTCCCTTAGGGACACCAGCCTTATTGTAGATCTCTGCCAGCAGCACAATAGAGATGGGGGTGAAGGGAGAAGGCTTGAAGACCATGGCATTACCTAGATAACCCAATTCACAAAAATAAAAAGAATGGGTACACATTTTCTGTCTAAAAACTTCAACTACAATCAAGTGAGAGAGTAATACTGAAGAAAAAATGTTTCAGTCCAACTAAAACAAACATCTGGATCATTATTTCCATTCCACATATGTTTTGAAGCTAAATCAATGCCAATATTTATAAAGTGGTCTCTTCTACTATTATTTAAGTGTTATTAAGTTCTAATAACAATCCACTGGAACTTCATTCCCCATTTTCACATCTCAAATAGCAACAATGAATTCCTAGAAAGGGAACTCCTGATTACTAGTTTCTATGAACGAAACTCATTCATTTATCAAAAAGTTAATTTATTATACCACAGGCCAAAGCAGGGGCTGATTTCCAGCAGGCAATCTGAAAAGGGTAGTTCCAAGCCCCTATCCCAACACAGACTCCAAGAGGTTCTCTTCTGGTATAAGCAAAGGATCCCTCAGGGAGCTGGACATGTTGACCTAAGCAGAAGAGACAAAGAGATACAGATGCAGATGAACAGAGTTGGAAGGGACCTT